ACAAATTGCACTAGATACAATGAACTTTGCACTAAAGAAAACACAATCCTTCCTCCTCTCTGTCTCTTTCTCTGTCTCTTGCTCTAGTTCCTGAGCTCTCCTCAGCTATGAGGATCTTTTCATTTGCTCGTGTCCTGCTGTTGCTGTTTCTCTCTTGTTTTGTTGCTATTGTCAGTCCAACAGGTAGGCGACATGCACACCATTCTTTGCTCGAGCTACTGACAGGTGTTATCATAAGTGTGAACTGATGCGTGAATAGTAGATAGAGCTCTCTCTACTATTCACTCTAATTTGATTTGTAGCTTCTAATTTGTGCATTTTTCTTATCTTTTTTTTCTTTATAGTAATCCTTACACAGAATGTCACTAATACTGTAGAAGACAGCATTACAGTGTTCCCTGGAATTACGATACAAATAACATGTAATGTTACTGGTTCTAATTCTTTATCATGGAACATGACTGGAAGTACTGAAAGTCCAGCTATCAGTGAGATGTTTCAAACTGATACACTTGGTGGTTTCAGTTTGATGTTTTTAAGTATTGATGGATCAGTAATATCATCTACAGCAACAGCAGTTACTTCATCCAATACTTCGATAACTTGCAGGGATGGTACTCCTGGTAGTAGCATTAGTGCAACCATTGATATAATTATTAAACCAGTTGATCCACAAAGTAAGCTAAACCATCAATTAGTATTAATTGTTATTTTTCTTATTTTACAGTTTATATGATACAGAATGTCACTAGTGATTCCAGTAATATAACAGTATGTCCTAATGACCCTATTACCTTTAGTTGCCGCTCCACTACTGGTATATTGGTCTGGGCACTGGACGATGGACAAAGCATTTCCATGGCTTATTTCACTAGCCTTGGAGAGATGGTAACCTTAGGAGACTTTGAGCTAGTAGTTACTAACGTAACAATATTGTCACTGGAAATTGAATCAACTGCAACCATCAGTTCTCCTGTTACTAATTTCACACTATCTTGTCACACTAATGTCACAAATGGACTTAATAGACTTAGTTCTGCAATAGAAGTTACTGTTAGAAGTAAGTTTTATCTTTTACTTTTTTTATCTGTCACTAGTCATTGCTTTGTTTAAAAGAGAGAAGAGAGGATGAGAGTTAGTAATGTATACCACAGTAATAAGTTATTACATCATGTTTACAAAGCATCACATCATTTCATCAGTGTTTAGTTAAATAAACAGTATTCATTTGGATAACTTATTTCAAAGAGTCACAACAAACTAATATAGTGTAAATTCACAACTTAAGTTGCTCCAAAATTGGGTCAAAGATAGGGACTTTGGCCAGATTTTGCCAAAAATGAAAAGTAGAGATTTCACCATTTTTATTACATTTTCTAATGCATTATACATGTACTTAACTATATTAGATGATTCCAATTGAGTTATGAGTATCATTTATTAATCTACAGGTCCTCCTGTTCCAGTATCATCAGTCAATGTGTCTGAGGTTTGCTATGACAGTATTTCATTAAATTGGACTGATACTATCAATTCAATTGACACACCACAACTGGATCATTATCTAGTGTCTGTAACAGCTCAAAATACTCAAACAGACCTCATTGTTAATGGATTCAATACCAGTCTAACAGGACTGACCAGTAATGAACAATATACCTTATCAGTGGTTTCAGTTAACTGTGCTGGTAATAGTACTCCAATGACAGTTCAAAGGACCATTATGGCACAAAGTTGGTCATTAATAATACTATTATTATAACTTTTCCACTATTTGTATAGAGCCATCTGTACCAACACTGCAAGGATTAGACCTTCTTTCTGATCGCAGTAACACATCAATTGCCACTATATCCGTTAGATGGGAGGTTAGCTATTTCATTCTTAATATCTATAACTTTATATCTTTAGCCTGGTGTAGTTACAGATTGCCTACAGCCTCCTGTCACTAGTTATAGTATCATGGTTTCTAGTGTAATAAGGACTGTTCATACAGTTAATAGCTCAATGACCAGCAGTACTTTTACTGTACCATCTTGTGGTCCATCACTAGTAGCTGTTAGTGCAATGAATGATGCTGGTACTAGCAACAGATCTAAACATTCATTTTTTTGTAAGATCATTCACAATTGCATCAATTATCTTCTTTTTCTTTTAGCTGGTACTC